TGATATCTCCAAAAGATGCTTTGGTAAGCTGTTAATAGTAACAGCTGACTGACTATTCTAAGTGAACATAGGTTGTCAGCTCTTACTTGTTTACAAAAATGACGAAACTGGATTATTAGTTATGTAGGTTTCATTGGTATAGTCCTGTGCTGAATTCTTCCTTAGGATTCAGGTACATTTCCAAAGAACTTGATGTTGCATCTGCTATGACCATGGCTAATATAACAAATATATAATATATATATATATTAGCCCTAGATATGATTATTTTCATGAAAACATAATAGTAATATTATGATTATAGTTGGTCACTTACAGGGGTGTCCAGTAGGAGGTTTCACGGCGCAAGTTTCGCCATCAAAATTTATGAGGAGGAAACATTTTGACGTGGTTTTCTATTTTTGAGGGGGGCACATTTCGACTGGGTTATGAATTTTCAAAATGAAAAGTTTCAAATTAAAAGACAAGTGGAAGCATGGAACAGACCGCAGTATGTGTTATTGTATATAATCTATGAGTATTTAAATTCTACTTTTTTTTTTTTTCTATCCCTTAGGAATTTCTTGATTACAAAATACAATATATATATAAATGATTACAAAATATATTATATTATATATTTTATACATATGAGTGGTCTTTTATCAACGACGGATATCTGTCATTTTTAAATTATACTTTTCTTTGCACTGTTTTTAAGAAGAAGATAGAAATAAAATATGTTGGGAGGAGGTGGGAGAAGGTATAGGCGCCATCGGCCTTGGGGAGAAGAGGATGGGCACCATCAATAAGGATATCACTTAATACAATAAGGATCAATACCCATTACAGAGATGTGTGTAAAGATCACTGGTTCATTATCGTTTTATCTTTTAACATAATTTTATATATAAAAGTATTTTTTCGTAATTATTTTATCACGATATACACCACATACACAGAAAAAAAATAAAGCAGTGCAATAATTTATCGTAGTTATTTTTGAAAAAACAATAAGTACTCTGGGGTGTTTTGGAGGAATCTCAACGTATTCGGAAACAAACCTCAACTCAATTAATAAGTACTTATAGCTTATATTTTATATCACAAAGAAGTTTTCTGAAATTGGAATATCTGTAGTATAGTAAGAGGTTGACAAAAAAAAAAAAAAAAAATCGGAAATAATCCAGAATTTGATGAAAAACAGAACTTAGATTGGTGTAGCTGCTTGAAAGTGGTTTTAAAAGAGAATAAACTCAACTTGTCTTTAGTTCAATGAAAAACGTGACTTATAAAAACATCAACAAAAGGTTTTCTGGTGAAAATCGAACTATGGTTTAAATAAACTTTTTCAAAGTTTTATAGGATAACTAAAAGCTAATTAAATATTTCCCTGAACGCACGTGACATTCCGCATTGTTAATTATATTCATATGCATGGGTTTGTTTATGTTGTAAATTCTGACTTATTTTAATGAATTATAAATTATAAAACGTTTAATATCCTAAGCTTATTACCAATGACCCTTAGAATGCTTCAATTTGTCTAAAAAGGCAATCGCGCTTTGAAATGTGCTTACATCAGTACTATGAGATCGACCTCGTTGTCTTCTTTGTACAACTCACAAAGGTAGGTTTCACACAACGAAAGCCGATCTGCGGCAAAATTCAATTCATCTGTGTAAGAGTTCATCACATAACTATACTCATTGTATTCAGCATAGCACAATGAGTTACACCCAAATCTATTTCAGCACGTGGATAGTTCACTTCTCAATGTTCCAACAAAGGCATTTTTCAAAATTCTACATTTTTACACGAATACTAGAACAACTTGGTCCGTCTTCAGGTTGCGAGATGTCCTCCGGGAGGTACTAAAGAAAGAATGATCAAGTATATGAAAAAAAGAACATGAAAAAACTCATGAACTGTTTCATAAGATACATCTTCGGGATCCCTAGTCGTTCACATATCTCATTCTGGTACACCGAGTTGAAGTGGCTTTATCCTACTTCCCGACGACAATTCCTCCTTGGTGTTTTCCTTTTCCTTGGCCAGACTTCCAAGTCTTCAGAACCAAAAACCCTCCCTACATCCTGGAACTAGTTACTCTACGTTTCTCTATCTACTGTCTTAATACTAGATCTCACCCTATAGACTTATATATCACCTCCCATAAAACTTCTTCCTTCATCAAATCCTTCGTCATTCGGGCTGATTCCTTATTGAACTCTCTACCTCCATACGTCAATCCTCATCCACAAATTTCTTCAAACAACTGCTCCACCACCTACTCCATATTCAAACTTCCGCAAACATGTAAAGTTACTTGCATCTATAAACTGTTTAATTTCAATCTATTGCACAATTGCAATAACAATTAACAGTTAATTAGTTTGTATTTTTTATTATTCTAAGTCAGACTAAGACCCATAAAATTGCAACTTTTATTATTCTTAGGGGACAGTAGTCTCAGAATAAAATTATTTTTTCATTTCATTTCAAAGTCCTAAGTTTGATAACTGTATGACTACGCAATGACAGTTAAAAACTATCGAAAAGGAAGACAAATTATAAGCAACTCACAGGCATTCATCATGCACTTCTATATGATACAAATCAAAGAGTATAAAATAGTTCTAAGTAGAGAATATGTAACATCAAGCTATCCAACACGGATGTTCTACATAAATAACCATGATTGTCACAACAGTTAGCATAAGACCACGTTGAAAGCATAAAACCGGGTGGATACTAAGGACAAACAAAGATACCATTAGTCTGAATGCATCACTTTGAAAAACTTAAAAATTCAAAGCTTAAGAAACAGGAATTGAAAACCCAAGCAAGACAGATAACATAACTAAACATTGGACTATCATTCAGATTTCGTATTACCTTTTTTCCACCCTTTTTGTTTATTATTTATGATTTTATTTATAAAAGCTTTATACAAACAAGAGATAGGGTCAGGGACCTAATCACAACCTCAGACATCCAGAAATTCAATCTCACCAGTCGTACGAAAAATGGTATATGGCTCCATTCTATGTCACTTATGATTTGGTTACATAGTGATTTGGATATCAAAATTCTCAAGTGTTGCCATCGAATACTACTAAAATGTTAACTATTGACAGCCTTAACAACATGAAATGTTTAAAAATACAAGAATCCATACAATATAAATATCAATATCAATACAGCAATCTACAATATCCAAAAGATCTACGTTGTATTAATTTCAGCAGAAAATTCATGATTTAAAAAATACTTTACAGAATGAAAATCATAAATTAATTAATCCTTCGTAATAAACCTTCAGGTTTTGATAGATTTTACAGTATCTCAATTTTTTCTATTTATGTCTATTATTATTCCTTTTTTTCTGCTTTACATTTTGTTCAATGATTATCTCACTTCCTCTTAGCATACTATGACAATATGTTTTACTTTATTTTGATCATGTTAATTTCTTTAGTCCCTACTTTGTTACCTTATTATTTATTTCATTGTTCTCTGTTACTTATTTTATTCATAATTTCCTACTTAGTTACCGTTATATATCCTAACTTTGCTATCGTTATTTTATAATTCCTTTAAGATCATTCTTTTTTTTTTACAATTTCTTTTACTGATCACCCCAACCATTCTTCTCTACAGGATATTTTATGAAACGAACTAACCTGAGCGTAATTGTGTCCAGGACACTCGGATGAATATTATCAGCAGTGTGAAATGAAGATGATCATATTCCCGCTTAAAATAGGACTAAAAAGGATGAAGGTTAACTGGTACAAAAAGTTTACCATCGAACTGAGCCTCCCCCCTGTTACTGTGGTTTCACAGATCCAACCACAGAACACATCCAACAGACGTGCACTCAACTGACTAGGAAGTACAGAGTTTACTCTGTTCCAGCTATGACGACTACAAAGGTGATAATAATATTGGTGGACCTCTGGTGATCTACGAATATTATACTTTTACATCCTAAACTGTTTTTAAGATAAATTAAAGAATAAGAAGACGTTCACGATGAAACAAATGAATTAGGGTCAACTAACTTCCTTCAATCATTAATCAAATAAAGGAAGAATGACCCAACAAATATATAAAATAATAATAAAGAAATAATAATGATAAAATTAAAATAATATATAAACTTTACAAATAAAAGTTCACAAAAACCGTAGATAACAAAACTAAAATTAAAGTTAAATATAAATATAAAAACATATATATAGGCACATAAATAAAACAAAATTCATCTAAAATTCACTCACATTTATCTATATACAATTTTTAGATTCGCCTAAGGGACTCCGAATAAGGCTTTGTCCTCCACATGTGAAAGGAAAAGCATCGCTTATAAAGTAAATTCTTACATTACAGGCATGGCAAAGTATGAAACTTCACCAATGGTCTGGATTGGTTATATAGTAATTTTTGATGTTATATTGAATAAAAGAATAAACAAGTTTCGCTGAAGTCAAGTATATGTTGATAGCTATCTAATGTGAGAGTTCCCATTGGGCTATACGAGCTGATTAGAATATGGAAATGAAACATTTCAAAAGCATTAATTAATCATAAAAAGAAAAAAAAAAAATGAAAAGCCTACTAACTACCATAGTAGCCAAGCCATCTAAATGTGTTTGCACTCAAGGTTAAAAAAAAGAATGTTGTGGTCAAAGCTTTCCAGGACAAGCAATAGAGCTGTCAATTATGTTATCACATTAAATTAAGAAAAATATATTTTCCAAGAAAAACAATTTATAAAATAAACAATAATGTATACCATAAATTCAATTATAATTAGCGATGCGGTGTTTGGTTCTATAAGATATAAAAACCTTTCGAAGAAATAATGCTTCGAAAGACCTTCAGCTGTAAGATGACAAGAAAATAAACTTTTCCATAAACATATGGTCGACGAAGTCACCACAAAAGGGACTTGAACATCTCAACTGAGGCCTGCAATGTCTTCTCGAACCTCGTCATAAGAAGAGAAAATAAGTCTATCGAGAGGGCCTTAGTAAATATTTATGACCAAGTGGTACGTTAAAGTCGCCGGTTGTAAGGTTGGCCAGCCCGGCACGAGGGAGGCACCCGATTGGTCCGATAGCGAGGGGTGGGGGTCGGCTGCCTCCCGGCACTTCGGCTCTTCGGTCAGTCAGTCGTATCTGTGTGAGTGTGTTGTGACTAGAGGATACCCGTCAACTCTAACTGAAGAAGGTAACACATCACTTTATATATAGTAGTAATAGGCAGTGGTATTATTATAGTTGAAGTAGCTTCAACTGTATCCTGTCACACTTGTGGATCCAGGATTTAATTTTGGGGAGCTTCAGCCCGAAAGCTTTTTTTTTCCACAAATATAAAACCATAATTAATTTGAAAAAAAAAATTAACTAACTATATGAAATTGAGTATAAGTGATTCTTGAAGTTCTATTATATGTAATTACACAAACAATAACATTTTAAGAGATAGTTTTTAATTTTTTTTTTCTATAAAACTTAGTTTATTTTACCATTTTGTGGGGAGGGACTTCAGCCCAAAAGCTCCTTCCCCTCCCCCCCCGTATATCCGCCTGTACTATGTCATATAAGCATACATACTTAGATTCACGACATTGTAACATTTTATTCCGAATTATTAAATCAGAAAATATTAAATATATTCCATTATTTTTTTTTAATAGAAGAATAATTGTACAATCTACCATAATCAAGGGCATTAGGTACTATGGCTCTATTTAACATTCCTACCATGTGTATATATCTTATTATGAAAAAAAAAAATAAGAAGTAAAATAAGGTACTAAAAACTAAAGAATAATAAAAGGAAAACAAAATACTTATTTCCTTCCTGTGTACTACATATAAAAAAAATTTTTTTCGTTTTATTTTTTGAGTCTAGATCGATACATTCTGTAATTTTTAGATAAATATTTTATTTCAAATCGATTGGTGCAATCAAAGGATGAGACAAGCGATTAAAGGAATTTCATATATTTGTCAAATCACTAATATATTTATAATAATTTTGATTTAAAAAACGATTTTCTTCTATGATAATTTTATTATTTTATAAGTCAAATAACGAACTTGGATATTGTAGATACATTTAAGGAAAAATTTAAAATTATTATAGTTGGTTCTTTGAACTGTATTTTGATAGATTTTTTAACTAAACCGAACCACCGAAGAAGCGGAGAGACTCTGACCATAGACCACCCACTCATATTCCTCAAAGAGCAATTCTTACCATCCACACTGCTTACTGTATTCTATATCTATATATTATTAATGTGATATTAAACAAAAGTGAATTTATAGTAATAAAATAATTAAATTATACTTTTTAAAAACAATAATCGAATGTACATCATACGATTCTCGAGGCCATATAAAATAATCGACTTTTCTTAAACAAACATACATATATTTATTCAATTGTTAATTGTGGTACTTGAATTTCTATATTTACTTAATAGATAGTTGAAAAAAAAAAAAAAAAAACTGTGACAAATTTTATTTTGTCGGTGTTTTTCTACGCTATTGAATAAATAATATCAAATTATAATACTTGATTATTAGTTTATGATTTACAACATTTCATTTGTTCATAAAATCATGAATTCATTTGTAAATAAAATCACATTTCTACGTTTGTAGATATCTAACATAAATTTCAATACATTTTTTTTAATTGTATTGTTTTTTTAATTATAAAAAAAAGAGTACAAACATCCTGTAAGGTTCAATTATCAGATTATAATTAGCTAATGTATAAATTTCTCATACATATATATATTCCAAAAAACTTAAAAGAACGAAATTATGTTGGGTTCTTTTTTTCCTAAATTCTTGAAATTAAATTTTTCTAAAATAAAATCAATGTCTTTATTATTGATTATTGATATTATTAATAAAGATGTATTAATCAATTGATAAATAAATATTTATAATTTATTTGTATTAATAGATTTTTTTCCGATTTTCAACTGATAGACTGTTTAAAATAAGGAAAATCTACAAAATGGAGAATCGATTTTTGTTAGTCTTTATTAAGAATACCAAATTCGATATATAGCTAAAATAATTCAAAAGCTTATTTTTATAAGTAAAAATAGTCACATCACGTATTTAGCGACAGTGCACTTGTTCTGTTTATTGTTTTTTTTTTATTATTTTGTTAAGTACATAATATTGAATATTATTTCTTTAATTTGAACGGTCACAAAATCAATTAAGAAATATTAAACCTATCGTCGGTTTATTGCAAAAGTCACTAGGTACATTTTTGATATAGGTTAACATTCAAATATGTTTTTGTAAATTTCTAACTTATTTATAAGGAAGGAGATGGTCCAGGTTGTCGGTCATAAATAGACTAAATAGTGGCAAAACTATTTTATTAAAATCCACAGTTTCGATTCGACTTTGCAGATCTTCTTCAGCAGTTCTAAGTGGAATTACTTGGCGAACACACCTCCCTGAAGAAGATCTGCTAAGTCGGATCGAAACGTTGGATTTTAATAAAATATTTTTCCCACTATTGAGTCTATTTATGACCGACTCCCCGAACCATCTGCTTCCTTAATAATACGACCGTCAACTGTTAAGTATTCAATCTAATTTATTTATAGATTAAAAAACACAGTATGTCCATAAAAAATTAAACAAACCAGTTTTTATGAAGTTACAACAAGTGCATAATTTTTTGATTTCATAAAAAGAAAATTCTTCAAAATTCTAAATTATTTAAGATCTTAACAATGACTTTTTAAAGTAAACCTTCTATTTTAATAGAAAGAATAAACTTTTCATAACAAAAACAAATTATTTAGTCTTGCACGTTCTTATAGGCTAACCTTGAAATTAAAATTTGGGGCGCCGTATTTCGAGTTTAACAGTCAAGATTTACGAGGAGAACAAACATATAATCATTCGCAGTTTAACAAAAGTTGTAAATGTTTTACTACTTAAAAAAAAAAAAAGAGTAAGAAAAGAAATATAGTTTCGCAAGGCTGAAGATTTCCTCGGGTCATTACAACGCACAACACTAAGAAGTTGAACGCAACGATTAGCTCCGTTCTTTCGAATAATAATTGAAGATTTAATGCTATTTAACTCTCCGACAATGACAATAATCATTCTAATGGTTTTACAAAAGTTGACCACGCTAACAAGTGTCTCTTTTTCCCTTTCTAGACAAACCAGCCCGATAAAAATACATTCACTTTCACATCAGAGCGTGTCTGTTCCTGACCGGTGTAGCCGGTATTATCAGCGTTGAGAATAATCCTTGCAAAAGGTACAGCTATACAATGCTCCTTAATTTAGAGGCCTTATTTGCCAGTGCAATTTAGTCCGCCTATTGTAAGGAAGGACTACGACCTTTCATAGCGCTATTGTTGGTCCGTACGAGCTCATGTGGGAAGCAAATTGGAACGGGTGGTCTGGCACAGTTTTGAGCATCTTTTTTTTTTTTTTTTAGTTACTACAATGTATTTGTTTTGCATTATATTGATTTTTGAGTTTCACTAATAATACTAATGCGCCGTAAAATTAAAAAAAAAAAAAAAAAAAACCAAATGCGTTAAAAAAAAATCTGGTGTGTTCACTCACACGACTGGCCTACCTATTTCAGAATTTTTTTTATATATTTACATATAACCATCAAGAAACAAGAAAAAATGTATTAGATTTATTTTTCTGAAATCCGATAAAAGAAAATATTTGAGTACGATTTATACGATAAACTAATGCAATGTATACCGGCTTAAGAGAGATCAGTGTAAAAATTTCAACTTCCTCTAATATTGCTGATCAAAAACTTTTTACCATAGCTTAATTTTGTCAAACAATAATTTCTGTTAAAAGTATAGGAAATAGTGAAGCCTGTGCTATGCGGGCAACAGATTTTCTTACTTCCACTTAGTCATTTTTTTTATCTCATTCACACCTTTCTGACACCAGGATATGAACTCGTAATCTGATATTGAAAATTTAATAGCTGTAACTTCGTTAATAGTTGTCCAAAATGAACGATTGTTATATAGTTTATCGCTGATAATACAGGTTAGATTTCGATGATTTTTGTTTTTGTTTTATTGGTAATTTAATTACCTTTAAAAAGTTTTATTATAAATTTTACCATATAATATATACTTAGCGAGTTAGGACCCAAAACATTTTTCTTTTCTTTATAACTTTTTTCCTAAATTTTCTCGGGAATTTAGTCCTTATACGAAAATTAAAAGGACAATTATTAGAACATTATAGGAAAGTTTTATCAAAATCGTTAGAGCTGTTTTCGTGCTACAATCTATAGAAAAACATGTCTTCGTTTATTGCGCATGGATCACCCAATTTCTGTCACAGGCATCATTTGTCAAAACTCTACAAAATAAAAAATAAAGCAATAAAATTGGTTTAGTATTTCTCGAGAAAATCTTGGCACAGACAGACTTAACATACAGAAAGATTTATGTAGACAACGAAATTGCGTTTCATAAATCCATGTATCCATAATGTGTGACTTAAACCTAACATGAGTCAAGGAATAAAACGCTCGGTTGCAATACAATATTGACCATGGTGATTCCCCTAAGCAGCCTTAAAACGAGAATTGTCCAAACTGGCCTTCGATGGGTGTCAGAAACTCTATATTTAAGAAGAATTAATTATTTTTACTTCGAAAACAAAACCCTTTATCAGAAAAACAAATACTAATTATGTGTAGTCATTAGGAAACTTTATATAATTTAATTGTTTAGCTTACTAAATAGTATTTTTTTCGTTTTCCTTTTTTTTTATTTAAGTCTGGAAATTACGTAACAGCCTTATTAAGGCATCTGGCCTTATCTGATTAAATGTTAATTGGAAACTTGAAGGTCAATTCAAATCGAAATTAGAGGTAGAACATAACCCTTTGAGGTTAAGGCCAGAGATAAAACTTGCGCAAAGGAATGTTATATGAGCCTTAAAAGCACACCGTATAACGTGATTTAATGTATATTAATACAATATGAATTCAATTTATATCTCTAATAACTGGATGAATATATGAAATAATTATTTTTAATTAGAGACATTAATTACTAAAAAAATTATAACTATATCTTATAAAATTATTTGTCAAAAAGCATTATTGATAATGTTCTCTTCTATTCTAATAAACTTATGTTGAAGATATCAAACTGAATACCAATAATGAAATTCATAAATTATGTTTGATTTTATATTTATTTATTGAATAATATAACATTCTGTCACTTTGGCATTGTAATATAAAATAAACAGAAGCAAAATAATAATCAAAAAAGTATATTAAAAACATGATATAAAAAAAATTGTTATACTCAGATCCTTCAGCTAAAGTGGCGTTAATGCAAGTAATTACGATATTCTTCATTTCTCTTTTAATAAAAAAAATAATAATTAATAAATGACTGTAGAATATACATTATAATTTCAAAGAGTTGAAAAAAAAATCAAATTTTAATTTCAAATTTATCAAAGTTTTAAACTAAAAATGAAGCCAAACTCTTAGTTGTTTTTTTTGTTTGAGAAATGAATTTGCAAAATACATGGCTATAATATTATATACAAGATAGAGGAATCAGAGTTATAATTTCATTCGCATACAAAATAAAATATTTTCAAGGTAGTCTTTATTCAACATAGACATATAGCCAATTGATTAAAGTTCATGTTTTACCACGACTGATGAAGTAACAATTTAATTAAATAAAAATCAGCTTTTGAATATAGATAAATATCTATACACCAAAAGAATATATACCTTTAGTTAAATAGTTAAGAAAATAAGACAGCTTCCTGAACGTGTTATAATTCATTAATGTATTCAATCAAGACCTAATGTGTTTGGTACATTCCTGGTTCGTAGTTAACTTTCTAAGAGTGAAGAAGTTCTGATTGTGAGGGTTAAGAAGAATTTCAATAGATTTTTAGTTCGTCGAAGACTATCATAATTTAAAATATTTTAATTTCCCATGATAGTATTTTATGGTAACTACAAAATCTAAGAGCTTTTCATCAAGAATTACGATTTATAAAAAAAAAAAAAGGTACATATTTGATCTTTAAGCTTGGTGTATTTTTTATAGCAAGATTTCCTTGTCTGTGAAACCTAGATCTGTGGACTTTTTGAAACCTCTCAATTTTTTCAATGTCTTTTATTGTAATTAAGTTAAGAATTTACGTTTTGAAATTAAAATAAGTCACTTTTCCGTAATATTTTCTTTCACCTCATTCGTAAAAATCCATCGCTCCTGAAACCCGGAAAAGGAATATATACTACTGTATTATAAATACATAGATGTAGATATTATGGTAATATATTGTATGTATTACAATATACCTAGTAAAATTTCCGTTCTATAATCTTGTTACTAATTACGAGCAATACACATAATAATAAAGGCTTCCTAAACAATGTTCCACACTAGGAAGTGTTGATACAAGCCGATGGATGTAGACACAACAAAAACCACTCGGGTAAGCATACCTCCAACACGTAGCCGGTAGGAAGAGTTGGTGCTATATGGACGTGGAAACTATAGTAAACAGTAAACAGGAGCAAAAAATCAATAAGGGCCACCTGTTCAGGAGAGTCTAATACAGAACCTGTTGGAGCGGGAACAATGGATTGGAGTGCTTTCGAGTGGTGTGAGGTGTCAATTGAAGAAGCTTGGTACCCGTTCCTTCGTAGTGGTGATGTGGTTGTGTTGTGTGGCATCGGAGAAACTTAATCCGAACTAAACCTAAAAAAAGGTGTGTGGGTTGTCGATTATAATCGGATGGAAAAAGGGTCATATCGAAAACAAAAGGATATATCACTGATTAAAAAAAATTCAATTATCAAAGTTTTAATCAATAAAATGATTTATTTTTTATTACCATAACAATAGTTGTCACTTATTTTTATACGAAAATAATTGCACGGTGTAAAATTGGTCTTGTAAAGAACTTCGTTAGATTAATTAGTATGGATAAAATATAAAAAAAAAAAAAAAAATAAGCTGTGATAGGAGTGAAAACATCATTAATAATATGAAATATAAATTATAAATAATATCTTATTATAAAGAGAATGGAATGCTGAGCCTTCCTTCATAACAATATCCAGGTCCGAATTCCAGTTTTTTGAGATATTTTAATCAATATGCAAAAGCATTTCAATTAGTCGACTCCAGACGACTTTACCCTAGCGCTACACATCAGAGATCTGACGGCTCAATCTAATTCACTTTCCACAAAATAAAGTACAAAATCCCCTAAATAATTTATCATTTCAAAAAAAAAAAATATTTAGCGAAAAATAAAATGTAAAATGCACTTCAATTTTCCTTACTGTCAAGAAAATATGTATTGATGGAATGCGATAAGTAACAAAGTAGAAAATAAATTTCTAGCTTCTGTTACTCAAGAATAAAGTAATTAAAACGTGGTTACTTATATATTATTTATTGACAGATTATCTTGCGTGATTTTAAGAGCTCTACGTGAGCCAAAAGTGGTTATTTCAACAATAAGTAAAATTTTTAATAGTTTAGCAAGGGGTCTAAAGATACATGATGTTTATAACTACGTCCTTGTAAAGTTTATAAAATGAATGACTAATAAAATAATAAGTAAAGCTTAAGAAAAAAGAATTAATGCATGAAACATGAATTTCAAAAAATAGTAAATTAAAACAGAGAGTTAAAATGGAAGGTCATTTATGTTACAAAAATTATTGCAGACCAGATCACTCAATTTTAGAACATACCAGATGTCAACTTACGAAAATTAGCACTGTTTAAGATTTTAAAAATTAAACCAGAAACATAGTAACGGATTTTTGAAAATATTCTCTCAAGCCAATTTCATGTAGCCTTTAAAAAGATTTTTATATTTTAATATACCTACGATCTATGAGCCACTTCGCAATTTCAAATACTAAAAAAAACTTCTTACAGTCAAAAACTACTTTTTCATTTGTACAACTATTTTGAAGAAAAAAAAAAATATAATCAGCAATTCCTTTAAATTGCTCTTTAACTGCGATGATAATTTAAAATTATTATTAATGATCTGTGGATACAAATTTAGCTTCTAATAACTCATTTTAACTGCAATCGCGTTTCCTACATACCATTATATCCAACTACCTTCCAGTTTAACAAATACTATATATAAATTGAATAAGGCCAGAGAAAAAAAAAATTGATTTTCTCAAATTTAAGTGTCTTAATTTTTGAGGAATAATTCTCTTTGACCTTCCATCTCACACTCTCTGCGTTAGTAAAAAATTTGCTTAATGTCAGAATATTTGCTTAATGTCAGGTCAGTTGCTATATTTGCTTACTGTCAGAATATCTCATTGTTTTGATATTCAAAAATTTAAATTTATTTTAAATATCGCTAATTAAGAATGCTCTATATTCTCATATTTCTTCACAAAAATATTTCACCAGTAATTATATTCAAAGTTGTTTTGTTCAGTTTTCTTTTTTTCTGTAAATATTATCTATTACAATAGGCTTATCATGTGCCATTATTGGGTTTCTCGGTATTACTCCTAACTGATACCGGATTTTAAGTTTACAGTTATAGATTACATTGTGTTTTACAAACAACTATTGTAAAACGCGGCGATATCTCGTTTTATTGCCGATGAAAAACCATTCAGTTTCAGGAAACAGCGTTACTTTAACACACTAACTTCAATGAAATCCAATCGTCAAAATTTATGCCTAGTTCCGTTATCTCATTTAACAATAGTTGCCGTGAAGTAGATTGTTATTATACGAGTCGATAAAATCTTCTGTAATTGCTTTTGTACGGAAAGGATTGTAAATTCTGCACAGTTATGCTTTTATCGAAACTTTTAATAGACGACTCATACTAAAAGAAAATAATATTTTTATACCTGCGTTCTATTTGTTAAAGTCATGTACGCATTAAGTTTATTTTAAAAACGTGCAATATACAAATATACTCAAAGTTGTTTTGAAACTATTTTACATGAAGATATATTTATTTTTATTAACATAGTAACGAAATGTTATTTTATTATATTAAGCCATATACACTTTATTATATAAATATTAAGTATAATATTTTTATGGTTTTAAAAGTTCTGTTCTGTTTCGAGGTCACATCATTGAAATCTGTTAGTATTTGTTTAGTGAGTCAACAAATGTTTACCAATATCGTTTGTACTCCTACTACCTGATAAAGTTCAACAGTCTCTAGAATATCTGATATTATTCTTCCAATTCCTATATTTCTAATAGATGGGAATATTTTGCTATATATATTAAAGATATCAATAAAAATTAAAATCGTTAAAAATAATCAACAAACAAAATGTTGTATTCATTTAGTTTATATATATTTATTCCAAACTGCAGAATTGCTTAAGGATACCCGTACATTTCGGTTACCAATTGGAATAATAAAATTAGGAGACCACGAGGCCATCTTCTTTTAAAACGCCTCCGAGGGTTATCACGGATCGAAGAGGAAGCAAGACGAGACATGAGAGGATAGAGATGTTTCTAAAATTTATTATAGGAGGATAGGTATCTGTATCGAGCCAAATCGGAAGTAAATGGACCATTAAGTTTGTTATGAATGATTTTATTTGGAACAAAGTAAGAAGCAACGAGGATTTTATGAAGGATTGGAAACGAAAGGAATTCGATGGCTTAGTGGGGCCCACAAAGACCTTATACAGTCATGTATTTGAGTCTTTTGTAATTAATTGTTTGCTTAAAGCGTTGGTTTATTAAGTACTAAATTAGCCAAAAACGACCAGCGATTTCTTTCAGTCGATTCGTTTCAGTTTGGCATGAGGATTCCAAGTTAATATTGTTTTTAATTTGGAAATAATGATGTATATCAAATATAACTCATTTTCTAAATACCAAACAAGTATCAATAAAATTATTTAATACTTGATCATTAGCAAAAAGAAATTACGAAACGCTGTGTAATTCATAGCATTTGTAAGTATTGCATTAGAAGATTTGATTTTGAGACGTAAATGAAAATTTACGAAAACCATTTCTGACCTCGGTGATTTCATATTTAAAGAATGAATGATATTTATATTTTTAGTTTAGTTAATTATTTTCATTATTTTTTTTATTTAGGTAATTCATAAACCACAGAACAGAATTTCTTAGAAAGCAACGATGAGTACTCTTATAACCTCTTACTGATGAAGTTTCCCTGAAGGAATTGCTAAATTAAATATTGTAGCGTTATTATCTTTTTTTCCATTCCATTTGTTTATATTTGGTTTTATCTTCCTGCAACGAGGAAGTTTCGTAACAGAGATAAATATCAAAACATCCAACAATCTTCTCCAATTGTATTTAACCTTACATCGGGTCTTGGAAACATTTTTATTGTTATAGAAAGGATAAAAAGATCGGTGAGAACGTTTTTAATTTTTTCTAACCGTTAAAAATACATTGTTTTTTTATCTTGTATCAGATTCTTTAAGTTAATGATGGTGAAATAATAATTTTATTATATTAAAATCTTGTTTTAAGACTAGTTTTTTTTTTAATAACTAGGTTTTAATATAAAAAATTATGAAAATAAAAAAAAACATTTATACCCTTGCAAAAACACAAAAAAATAATCCGATAGTGCAACTATTTTTTTTTTTTTAAAGAAGCTTAAAAATAAGTGGTGTGCATGAGTTCCACTAATTCCGAGAATTTGCATAAATTAAACAGTTTTAGTTTACGATGAGATGAAGCTATTCGCTAAGTTTTAGATGTATGTTAATAATTTGATAAGAAGGAGTCTGTACCACGGACTAATCATAGCCACGAGACTGAAAACTAATGACTTGCTTCATAAGATTCGTCTAGGAATTCCCAGACGTACCCACGTTTCCTCCCTGTACACCGAGTTGAAGTGGCTTTATCCTACTTCCCGACGGCAATTCCTTCATGGTGTTTTCCTTTTCCAAGTCCTCAGAACCAAAAATCCTCCTTAAATCCAAGAACTCCTTACCCTACGCTCCTCTATCCTCTCTCTTAATACAAGAGACCTATTATAGACCTTTATATTCCCTCCCATAAAACAACTTCAGCAAATCCTTCTTCATTCTTGCTACCTCCTTTAGGAACGCCTTGTCTATCTCCATACGCCAAAACACGTCCACAAATTCCTTCAAACAACTCCTATTCAACCACCTACTACACATTCAAACTTCCTCCATCTTATAAGAATTTTTAGGCTACATAAATACAATTGCTCGCTAATAGGTAAATGATAAGAGCTTTTTTATTTTTCTCTATATTTTTTATACATCTGCATCGTATCCAGATGCTAGACTTATGTTTATGTTTTCTGAATTCTGTTATTATCCTAAGGGACGTTAGTCTCAGAATTAAATTAATTTTTCATTGATTCAGTCAATATGTGAATCTGTATTTTTTGTAATTATCTGCAAGTTTCTTATTGTACTAAATTTACAAAATTTCGTTATAAGTTGATCCCAAATTAAGTTATGATGTATTAAGTGTATCATATATTTAATTTTGACGAATACATAAATTAGTTGTTTTTTTTTCTACAAATCTAAGGCGCCTTTTGGAACATCCTACCTGCTTGCTTCCTCTCAAAGCGGAGTTCCGGTCTTTTGGTTTGTTTAAATTAACTTAAAGACTCCATTTTGGGAAAGTTGAGATGGGCAGAGGAGCTGTTAAACTACTTATGAATGGGCCCGAAGAGACAGCAAAAAAAAATAACGTTTACTTGGAAGGGACAGTAACAGGTACAAAAACGGGTACACAAAGGAAAAGCGATCCCAAGGCGCGGCCTCGCCCCCAGGCCCGCACATTACTAATGCCTCTCTTGCAGCGCCCCATTTCCAGAACCTGTTCCTTATCTTGGGCTGTTAGTCACCCTTCCAAGGAGGAGTAATGCCTCAAATATAATTATGGTACTTAATATAGCTCTCTAATTTGTTAAGTAATAGTGACCGATTTTTCTAGATGGCAATCTTTTTCTTTAAATAACCGGCCGTTTGTAGGATTTTTTCCAACTAATATTCAATGTCGTAATCCCAAAATGCCTAATCATTTATTATTTGCTGTTCTAAAACGAAATACAATTATTTTTAATAGCATTTTCTCTCATATATTGTATAATTCAGCAGTATTAATCCGAATTTTATGAGAAGTTACAACTCTCTATTTCGATCCTCAAATTCATAAGACAAATATAGTAAATGCAATTGATAAGCTCACTGCATATCACCAGATACTTCTCAAGTATCGTTTATGATTTTAAAATGCAAAATATAGCCATCTGTTATAGCCTATGGTCTATCATACCATTGTTGTCAACTATATTATTAAACATACTTGGCATTCAAAACATTTTTTTGCGTCAGCAATCAATGCCTTAAACAATAAGTAATGCATTAGCAATTTTATTTTTTGAATATTTAATGGTTGACCGTTGCATTATAAAGGAAGGAGATGGTCCGGGGTTGCGGTCATAAAAAGGCTAAATAGTGGTAAAACTATATTATTGAAAGCCTATTGATTGCCTATTGATTGAAAACCTATTATTGAAAGCCTGAAAGAATTGAAGGCTTTCAATAATATAGTTTTACCAATTTTATTTTTTCTATTCCCTACAGGTATAAAAACCACGCTATATGAGTACTGAACTTTGTGTCAATTCGTTTATATTGGAACAATAATTATGAAATAATAGAAAAATATAATGTATTTTAAGGTTAAAGTTTAAAATCGAATGCAAATGCAAGCAATTTTAAAAACAAATATTTAAGTGTAAATGAAATTATTCCGGTCACGAATCCTCTAAAGTTTTATAGACATTTTTTTTTTTTTTTAAATAAATAAAATTTTAGAATTAGAATAGAAAGAAATTTAAATCAAACTTTTATTATTATTTTTTATATATATATTTTGTCTTTTAAAAGGCAAACTAACAGTTTACAGAGTTTCAAAGGAGATTTCATGGCATTTACCAGGGGATTAGAAAAACAAATATATACTATTTTTTTTTCAATTATTGCCGGAAAATCGATATTTTATGTAATGGAATTGCGCAAGTGTAAGGGATGAATTAGATATTACTAGTTGCAAAGGAATATTATTGACTTGCTCGTTTTTCGATTTCCTGCTTTCTAAATCCATCTCTTGAATGGTAAAACTAATAATATTCCTTGATGCAGATGACCTTCGGAAATGACACTTCCCATTGATGAGCTCGAGCTGAATCGAACTGATACGGCTATTAAATTCATTGAACAATAGATAAGAAAGAGATGTTGCAACTCTTGAAAGCTGCTTTCCAAACGAGACCGAAGAAATTTCTTTAGCTCGGGCCGACATGGTCGGGGCAGTTGCAATGTGGATGACCTCTTGCAACCATTCCACGCTGCACCGACTCCATTACTGATTCATTCGGCCGTTTCTTTGACGCCGCTCTTGCGTCAAAAGTACTTTGCCACACCACTTCACCTTGCTGGGGCGATAATAAAAATAATATTGGCAGAAAATCTTTATAATAAAATCTAACCGTTAGTAAATACCGATTCTTTACAGCACCATCGATATGCGTTTATAATTTTGACATTTTATAACCATAACTAACAGTACTTTTAAAATTTTATTTTCGTTCATTTAAATCATATATTTTTCTTTTCATTTAATTATTTATCATCATAAATAATAATTTATTATTATTTAATTATACATTATTTATTTTTCTGCTGAAAAATCTTATTATTTAATGTAAAATCCATTATAATGTTTAATATCCACAAGTATGTAGTATAATGTTCTAGAGGCATCACTTCTGACCCAGGTAAGGTATTCTAGACCATGGAATAGGTAGCCGTGAGAAAACTGTGGTAACAGTGACCGATTCTGAAATGGCACAGGATTACCCCGTATAGCCTTAAAAGTACCAAAGAGGAAGCAAAAAAAAAAATTTAAGATGGCATGGGGTTATTTCCTCTCTTCTTGATTTTTTGTTACTCGTGAACCACTTAGCCCTTTTCCCTTTTACCTATACTAGTTAAAAGTGTTTCTTCTCCATTCTTTAATTCATTGTGCTAGTATTAAATATTTTATTTTATTTAAATATTCTTTTTATTAGGAATTGAATAAAAAATGCCAAGCGTATAAAAATAATTAATTTTAGCCTATTAATAATACAATTGATATAGAGACAAATAGAATGAAATTCAATTCAAATATTAGCTTTAGAAATATATCAAACTTTTTTTTTTTTTTTTTGTTGAAAGATGACGATTTTGCCAGTAGGCTCCAATTCACTGAAAAGCGCACACAGAGTTTTCTTGTTTATTTCAATTTTTTTTTTTTTTAGTAGGAGTTTCCTCTAATAGTGGTTTTCCTTAACCTAAACCTTGGAGTGCTTCTTTCCATAATATCCTATCTAAGGTCCATTTTTCCTGTAAACCATGACCCATCATGGATTCCTCCACTTCGTTATCCCAGGTCTTCCTCCTCTTCTTCTTTCCCCAGTTTTCCATAAGTGAACTTCTTTGGGTAGTCTTCTTTCTGGCATTCTTTTCAAATGGCCATACCAGTTCAGGCGTTTTATCTCAATCTCTTCCAGAATGGTTCTTTTAGTCTCCATCTTTTCTCCGGTCGTATTTCTGACTATCCATTCTGGATATTCCCGCCGCTCGTCTCCAATAGACCATTTCGGTGGCTAGAAGTTTCTTCCTGAGGTTGCTTTTAATGGTCCAAGCTTCTGAGACAAATAGAATGAAATTCCATTCAAATATTAGCTTTAGAAATATATCAAACTTCTTTTTTTTTTTTTTTTTGTTGAAAGATGAAGATTTTGCCAGTAGGCTCCAATTCACTGAAAAGCGCACACAGAGTTTTCTTGTTTATTTCAAATTTTTTTTTTTTTTTTTAGTAGGAGTTTCCACTAATAGTGGTTTTCCTTAACCTAAACCTTGGAGTGCTTCTTTCCATAATATCCTATCTAAGGTCCATTTTTCCTGTAAACCATGACCCATCATGGATTCCTCCACTTCGTTATCCCAGGTCTTCCTCGTCTTCTTCTTTCCCCAGTTTTCCATAAGTGAACTTCTTTGGGTAGTCTTCTTTCTGGCATTCTTTTCAAATGGCCATATTAGTTCAGGCGTTTTATCTCAATCTCTTCCAGAATGGTTCTTTTAGTCTCCATCTTTTCTCCGGTCGTATTTCTGACTATCCATTCTGGATATTCCCGCCGCTAGTCTTCAATAGACCATTTCGGTGGCTAGAAGTTTCTTCCTGAGGTTGCTTTTAATGGTCCAAGCTTCTGATCCGTATGTCATAATACTCAGTACTATACTACTGTATTTTTTCATGTTATTTCAAGAGATAAAACAATGAAAAGCTTCTTAATGAAACTAGTAAATCAGGAAAAAAATGAAGAATGTTAAGATGGATAGAGCTCAGAGCAATTTATCAGAAAGCCTTTACAAAAAAATTATTGCCTTAAAAGTGGAAAAGAGACCACTTTGAAGTCCAAACACCAGATGGATAGGTAGAATCAACAACGATGCAATAGAGCTGTATGTAGATAACTGAAAAGAAATAGCCCCAGATAGGTAGCGGTAGAGAATGCTCGGGCTAAAGTCTAATATTTCAATAGAAAAAAAAAATGGTTAATTTAAATATTAAAAATAAGATAGAAAAATAAGAAGATTAACTTGTTGTTTTTCGGATTCTATTTGGTATGACTACATTACAAATCATGTTTTGTTGCCTTCCAAAAACATTTCGAAGTAGGAGCTGTGATAGGATACGATCTTCCTGAGCGATTGGATATGCTGATTGATACCGGTACTATCTAGTCATCATTGTGCCTCTCTCCTATTGTTCCACTTTCAGCAGTATCCTCCCAAGATCGAGAGATGGACGGCACATCCCCCGGCACAAGTCGAGTTCGCTTGCGGTACTGTTCGCCACACCCTGGTACAATTATGCAACCCTGCCGCCCAACCAGACCACGCCCGCCTTACACAACCGCACGACCCTGCCCACACTCGAGGACCCGTGTCACTCAGGTCCTGTTCCTCCCCCGAGGTTTCTAGGAAGGCTGTTCCTCCCTTCGCCCATTTTGAAAAACGTCTGGTCCGAAAACAGTTTATGATTGGCAGCCCGTGTGAAAGTCTTCCAGTCCTGGGTCATGATTGGCCAGTTCTACTTCATTGTTACCAAAGCAAACACATGTCCGTGGTAAATTTATGACTGAAAGGAAGTATTTAAAACCGTAGAGCTGTAAATATAGATATAACAATACTTGCGTGACACATTGGTACTAAGAAGAATTTGTAATATGTGTTCTAGATCACGTATAACCGTCATACAGTCAACCATAAAAATCTCATTTATTTATACGAATAAAATAAATAAAGTATTGCACTATAGACTGCAGAAGAATCGATAGTTTACTTCGATTGTTTGATTCCCACAATAATGCAACATGCAAATTGTTTAATTTAATCTGATTCATACTAAAAACAACCATTTCTTTTATCAGCTGCAGAAGCGAGAATTTTCGAATTCTACGAGATATAGATATGAATAATACTTCGATATTTATTATTCAATAGCATTAGGCATCCATCAAATCTTACCTAAACTTATCTATGGAATTTATTCGTACCTTAATTCGTCGATATATTCACGATTTCCAGACCAGACACCACTGGATTTTTTTGGTTTGGGGTGACATTAAACATAAAGGCTATGCAAGACCGATCAATTACTTTAATTTCTTACGAAGAGGGATAATCAAATATTGTGAAACAACACATATCCAGTATCATTCTGTCATTGCTGTTGTTGAAGAAAGATGCTGAGCCTGTCTTAATGCTCAAGAAAACCACTTTGAACAACATTTAATATGAATTTAATGTTTACGTTTAATTAACAAAGTAGTTGGAACAAATAAATAAGTTTTATTTACTTAATATAACGTAAATAATTCATAAAAATGAAAATCTTTATGTGTGAATATCTCCTAACCGTTTGCGGACATACCTTCCTAGGATTTTTTTTTTATTGTTTTGAAGTCCTTAATTCATTTTCAGTTTGGCCATTTAATTCTGAAACACTCTATGTAATAGGAAAAAGTATAAATTACCAAAACAAACGCTAATTTTATAAAATCAAATGAGTAAATATTTGTATGAATTAATCTACTGTGAAATCAGAACATTCAGCTATTAGTATAAGTATTTTAGACTTATAACTGTGTTATTTTAAAGGATTAAATGTACTTTCACATCTATTAATGTGACTTAAATTCACAAATGCGTACTTAAAGTTTGGCTCCATCAAAATTATATAAAATGACTCACTGCAATAAACCAACGATTTCCAAAATTATTATAAATCAGCTGTGTACATAAGGAGCATTATTTATTTTCAATAGACATCATGGCCATGATGAATTAAAAGTTTTATTAATATTTTTCGGTTGTCCTTCTCTCAATTATAACTACGAATTATCTCAAAACGGAAAAATTTACAGTTCATAATATACTTGTATAATTCAGTTCAGTTCAGTATAACTTAAAGAGTGCATTGTTAAACTGAAGGAAAGTCATGTCCTTCACATTTTGTCTAAGATACAGCTCGACTCTAGAAATGTTCCGTTCTGCATTATAATAAGCTTTGAACTTTTAATGGCCGAATAAGAAACTGTATTCGGATAATTGGAAATTGCAAAATGTCAGCCATTTTATATATGCACATTACATAAAAAATGAAAGATCTACTGATCTTCCAGAATAAACCTTGTTCTTGAATGAGTATATTCCCAGCATCCCCAGAAGTTTATTTTAACAAAATTTGATTTTTTATTCTCGCTAAGATATGAGGGGTAGTGTTACCCAGCAAACTCAGTCTTGGTCATGGCCTTGGTCGTGTGAAAGATTCTCGCAAGAGTCTTACAGTTACTTATTAGCTTATTACTATAGAGGTATTACTGTAATTTTTTAAATATGATAAACCTAACTAAGCCAGAATGAAAAATTAGAAAAGTTAAATGCAAAAGTATATTGGTTATACCAAATATCATATTGGTTATACCAATTAGTAACTATTTTGCCCTAATTTTTATTTTAAAAAATCAATTTTTTTTTACCAGTCCTTGTCTAGGTCTTGCGACAGTTAGACGGCCTTGGTCTTAGTCTTGCAAAGTGCACGATCAAGACCGATTTTGGGCAACACTATTGATAATAATGTATTCTAAGATTAGTAACTTCCTGGAATAAGAATAAAGGTGGTAAAGAAGTCGAAATTTCTCTAATTTTATTTTTCGAAAAATTGTTGCCCAAATATGACTGAAATTTTGAAATCACACATGTACAAATGGAATGCCAAATATTAATAAATTAAGTAGGTATACGAGTTACCGTTTAATTTTGTAATAAACCATTTAAGTAACTACCATTAATAAAAAAATTAATTACAGCTTGAGTGATGTTACTACCTGTAGACTATAAATAGTTGAAGACAACTTGCATAACTGATGTAATCATTGCACTCCTAATGGGCTCAACTGCTCTACTTACGGTAGTCAGCAATCAATTCTACTAAAAGGGGAAAGGCAAAAGTAGAAGTTACACAGCAACATCTGTTCAGTTTTTTTTTAATACATTTTTGTATTTTAAATAAATTTCCTCTCTCTCTCTGAAGCCTTATTTGACTTCATGTATCAAACAGGAATATCTTCCCTTTTGCTTCTGTTGGACATCTGGTTCATCAATATTTACATCTTTCCTCTAACTCTTAGCATTATATTTATAATATAGAATTAATAAAACGTGTAAATTATAAAGTTATCAGAAATGTCAATAAAAAAAAAATAATAAATAAAAAACGTGGAGAACTATCTCTCAATTGAAATTGCTTATTGACAATGACCAGGATTAATATTATTTTGTTTCATCACAACCGAAGGTTTGTATTCATTTACTTTTGAAAGCACTGAAATATTCTGTGATGTAATGAGAGACGTAAAGTTTTTGAGTTTTCACAAAACCATATAAAGATAGGCGGGTTTCCATCGAAACATGTAAAAAATACTTAAATACTAAAATAATTATAGATATGCATGCCAAGCTCACAAATCCATAGGCATAAGCAGATGTAATGCTGTTCGATTTTGGAGATATATTTTATAGTCAGAAATATAATAAGTTTTCAAATGATGTTATACAAACACGTACAAACGAGAAACTAAAAATTATTTAATTTTTGAGCTATAAGCAAGTAAGATTTCGTTTTATTTATTCTTTTCTCATGGTCCTTCTCAAGGATATATTATATATAAATAAATTTAGGGAGCATTGAGAAGTAAGACTTAATGCCCCATCTAAATCGTTAGACCTTTCTGTCTACAATAAATCTTCTGTTATTGCTCAGATGGTACTCAACTTACAACCCAGTCGACGAAGTCTGAAATGCTACGAAACGAAATAAAAGCAACAAAAACTCAACAAACACTCAACATGAGACAGACATTACAATTACCTGGCCTATTAGCAGCAATAAAGCAATGTTGGTTTTTTTTTAAACTTCAATACAATGATTCTATAATACTTGTGGGTAAAATGGTTTACTGTCGTGAATAATGAAGAGAAGAATAGTTGGGGTGATCAGAATCTGTCTCCATAATTGTTCGAAATGTAGACGCATGAAATCTCTAATTTTGAAGGAGTGAACTTATTTTTTCATGGACGATTACGAAAATTCAATATTATGACATCAGATCCTGGTTACAATATTTAAAAAATATTTTCATACTTGTTTTTATTATGATATTTTGAAGTTATATTTTTCATTAGAACATTTTTTTTTTCTCGCAACCCTGAAAGTATGGAAGCATTATATATGTCCATACGGCACGGTGAAGTATTGCCGTACTATAATTCTCTACGGCCTTGGGTTAGCTTAGAAAAAGCCAGAGGGATTGGTGTATCGACTTTCATTTCTTGCATAAGTTCATTGAGACACTTTTATTGTGCACCCCGTGGAGATCTGGAGGGCGCGTTGCCGTAACATGAGCCGGGTCAATCCTTGCTCTTAATCTGTCTTGATACAGTGGAGTACTGTCCCTTCCAGAAGTTGTCGCGCTCTTACCATATTGACGAATGTACTATATGTCCATATAATTGGATATACATATGGAACAACATATTTGAAATAAAAACTGGATCAAATGATTATTTTCCTTTCACTCGAATTACTTATATTCCATATGACACATTCAAAGCTTTTCAACACCTTATTTATCATTATTCCGAGAATGAGTTTTTAATTATACTAACTTAATCATTTTTATTGTTCTTTTCAATTGTTTTTAAATACAGAAGAGTTATCACAGTGACTAGTTTCAGTTCCTTTCCAATAACGCAATGGTCGACAAACTCACGATCGCGAAATTTCTGGGGACTTTTCGGGATTTCAATAACTTGGAAAGATAAAAAAAAGCTGTGATTGCGCTTGGTTTATTTCTTCAATTTTCTCCAAGAATTTGTATACTCTCCCAAACGACTCCCCTTCTACGCAGATGTTATTTTCTGTTCAATTTCTCAATGTCCTATCGATTGCTTCTATAAATGTATATGTAAAAAAACCTAATTTTGGACAAACTACGACGAGGAAGACCGGCCATTTGGTCGAAGGTTATCCCGAAGAAAGGAGTATTTACTGAACTATTGGAAACCTGTCCATTTACTGTCAATGGGCAGGGTCACCTGGTGGCCGGAAACTGTTCAAAGCTCTCTTCCGGCTGCGTCAATGGCCGCATGCCCCAAGCACGCTAATGTCACCTAACTGTTCTAGATATAAATGGCAATTATAAACTCATTGATATATATATATATATATATATATATATATATATATATATATACATATAATAAAATAACATAAGTAAGGATAATGTTTTAACTCCACATTAACGAATAATTATCGCATGAATTAGGTACCTTACAGAATTTTCGGAGAAGGGTACCAATTCTTTCTACGATTTAATCATAAGCCGTTAAGGAAATGTTGAGGACAAAGGTTAGTGTAAGATGAAAGTGTTCAATGCATGGCCTAATGTATTGAGAGAAATTTTTGTCACTCAAAAATATTTTTATTACATAAACAAAAAACGTTTAATATTTATTAAAAATCTTCATTTAGAATAGTAATTAGGGCCTTTATTATGATTTTACAACAGTTTCATT